GATTAATAAGAGTTCAGACTTAAATTGTTTTCTCAGAGCCCATGATTTAGATTTAAAAACCAATTATATTTTAATCTTTCACAATAGAAACTTTAATCTCCTTTTTTGAATAATTACTAATATATTTAAATTAGTAGTTATCAATTGATAATTTTGTTCCTCAGAGTGTATTGGAAATGTCTGGAGATATTTCTGGTTATCATGATGTGGGTGTTACCAGCATATAGTAAACAGGAAACTAGGAGGCTACTAAATATCCTACAAGCACATGACATTTACTCATTTATTTGATTCATATGCCAATAGTGCTGAGGTTGGAAAACCTTGATTTAAATAAATTATACAATTTCAACAGTTTAGTCATACATCACATTATTATACTTATATAAAAATGATCTATAAGGCTAGAATGGAGGGGCTAGGAGTATAGCCTAGTGATAAGAACAGGTGCTTAGCATGTGAGAAGCCCTGGGTTAAATCCCCAGCATGAATGTGTGTGTGTGCGCGCGCGCGCGTGCGCACGCGCACACACATACACACACATACACACACACACACACACACACACACACACAAAGAATTAAGCTGAAAAACTGCTGTAACATTATAGTACAATATGTTACTCAAGTGTTTGTGGTGATGCTGTTGTAAACAAACACTGTTGCTGCCCACCATATTAAAGTATAGCACATAAAACACACCACATATACGACAGTGGTCCCGTAAGATTATAATAGAACTGAAAAATCCTCATTGCCTAGAGATGTAGCTGTCATGATGCCAACATAACACATTTTTCAAGCCTCCATAAACAGACCTGTCAGAAAAGTATAGCATGTTTGTCTATGAACAGTACTTAACACTTGATAATAGTAATAAATGACTATGTTATTGGTTTATGCATTTACTATACTACACTTTTTATCATTACTTTACAACAAAAACGTTTACTACAAAACAGTATTCTATATTATGCCACAAGTAGCCTCACATGTATCATCTATGTTGAATGCATCAAGAGATCACATTCAAAGCAGAGGCACACACCTAAAGTTCCAGCTACTCAGAAGGCTGAAGCAAGAGGGTTGCTTGACCCAGGAATTTGAGACCTGCCTGGGAAACATAGCAAGACCCCATGGCAAAGCAAAACAAAACAAACAGGCAATGTTTAGTAATTGACTTATACCATCTATAATTGTGTGAATACACTGTTTGCAGAACAGAATTGCTGCCTACTGATGCATTTCTCAGAATATGTCCTTGTCATTAAGCAATGCATGAATGTATTTAAGAAAAGTTCACTTTATAAAACTTTGCCTAATATATAACAATTCTGAGTTTA